AAAAAAACCAAAACCGGCCGACCAATTAACCCACTAACAGTGTGAAAATCAGCCGATTAATCTTTTGGACAAAAAATCGGTGATTTTCGAACAGTATATGGCCGGCATTAGAATCAACTCCAGACCTTTTACCTGCTTAATTGATGAAGAAATAACAAAGGAGTAGCCCACACCTGGCCATGAAACCGCTTTTGATTCAATTGTCCAATTACATTTGGCCCACTGAAAAATGGGGGGTGGTGGCTACTCCTAAGAGCTGTAATTCCTAAACCCTTCCTCCAATTTGGATGTACATACCCTCAAATTAAACCTGAGAGTGTGCACTTTCAATCCATATCCATTATATAACTATAGGTTGAATAAGTTTTGGTAAATACCTGAAAAACTAAAGTTGTGTGTGTCCAAATCCTAGTTGTATGAGGCAGCATCTTGCTGAAGTCCACCGCCGGACTGCGAGCTGCAAGTTAGCTGTAGATAATCAAAAGTCTTTAGTTGTTGGCCTACATTGGCCTTGGTGCAGCAGCTCTCCACAAAGCAAAAGGGCTCACCAGGCTTTAGTAATCTGTGTGGATTGAAACCAGAATGAGCATTCATTAGGGCTGCAAAACAACAATTTGTTTGACCCCCTATTTGTGTCTTTTCGTATCCCTGAAGAAGGGGGATTGTTTGACCCCCAAAACATGGTGGCTTCTCATGGTTATACTTTTGCCGTTCACATATTAATAAAATGCATATTTTGCGCTCCTTCTGGTTCAGATACACATATGTGTAGGATTAGTGAGAAGGGGTTAAATGTCATTTTATGCTAAAAATAATTGTGTGGTTTTTTTTTTAAGAAGTTTCCTTAATTATCTGTACCCTGGTGTGTTAGCTTTGTGAATTGAGTCCTTTGATGGGAGAAGCTTTTTGAAACAAGGATAACATTATTAAGAGATTTTGCTGTGCTGTATAGTTTTTATTAAAGTGGTTGTAAACCTCAGACATGAAATATGAACAAAGCAAATCCCTCTATAGTGTGTACTTGTCTCTATCCAGAGTCCTAAGTGTCATTTCTGTCTGCTGCTTTGTTCCTCTGCTATCCGCATGAGTCACTTCTGACAAGTTTTCTTGACACCAATAGAAAAAAGGTGACGGGAGGGACCTTCAACAGATTGACAGTCTCAGCTCTGTTCCTTTGAGCTGTGTGAAGGGGGTGTGTCTATTCCCTCCAATCAGCTCTTAGAGCTCTCCTTGCTGTGCTGTGCAGTGTCATTTCATCTGCTCACCCCCTTTTTTCCTGATTTCTCTTATAAATTCACAAATTCAGCACTTTGAATTGATGTAGAGAAGACTGCAGATAAACAGGTACAACTTCTGTAGGGTGATTTGTTTAATCTCTGTGTATCAATCACTTCACTCAATATATGTAAGGGTTTACAACCACTTTAACAAATTATATTTTTGTGTGCTTTTGCCTGGTCTGGACTGGTTATCTGGTCATAAGGACTAGTGGGTATTTTTGGCTCGTGGGCCACTTGGATGCTATATTCAGTGCCTTCAAAAGCTGGTCACACACTATACAAATGGATTGCACAATCTCCTTTAGATTTACCAAAACTGTGTAATATTAGAGCAAACCTAAACAGTCCAATCACTCTGTAGCCAATCAGACAGGCCCTTGCATTACATAGTAGATTGTGGCACTAAAGAAAATTGTACAATCAGATTCTATAGTGTATGTGCAGCTGTGGGCTGTAGCTGAATGACTGTTTGAAAAGTACCACCAAGTTTTTTTTTTTTTGTTTTTTTTTTTTACTTTAAAGTTGACTCTCCCTTTCTCTCTGTCACTTTGCTCACTTTTCATATCAGCATTTTATTATTTATTTCAGGTACTTATATAGCACCGTCAGTTTACGCAGCGCTTTTACATATATATTGTACATTCACATCAGTCCCTAACCCTCAAGGGGTGTACAATCTAAGGTCTCTAACTCACATTCATACATACACATACTAGGGCTAATTTAGACTGGATCCAATCAACATGCCAGTATGTCTTTGGAGTGTGGGAGAAAACCGGAGTACCACACAGGCACAGGGAGAACATACAAATCCCTGGCAGGTGGTGCCGTGGTTGGGATTCGAACCAACAACCCTAGTGTTGCCAGGGGGAAGTGCTAACCATTTAGCCACTGTGCTGCCGCTAGCATGTTTCTTGAACTGCAGCACAACCAATGGGCTCCTTGTGCTGCTTCTACCATCCCCAGTCTGAGATCTGCTGTACAGTGCATTGCAGGAAACTGATACCAGGTCAAATTCAAGAAAACTGCTAACATTTAAAAACTATATATATTTAGGGATGTACCAATACAATGGTGCATTAATTTGTGTCCTTTATATTTGCCTAGAGTTCAGCTTTACCTAAAACTAGGAAACAGTAAAAATGTTATATATTTTTTTATTTGTAAGAAAACATAACAGTTTGATTTATTTTAGTTATTTTTTTTTTACAGGTACAGGGGTTTTTATGAAAAAAACTACTTGTCCAGGGACTAAATCGGTGCCCCAATCTACTTGTCCCTCATGACAATCTACTTGTCCAGATAAAAAAATAAATACATTTTAACTGTATTTAAATTGGAGGTGATGTTAGGAATGTCTGGGGCTTTTAAAAACAAAAGGGGCTTTAAGGCAACTTAAACGTTTAATATTTTTAACATTGCGCTGTATATCTCCTCCTCTCCTCAATACCTGTCTCCAGCACCGCACCTGGGGACTAGCAAGGAGAGGGGAGACCTTGCAGTATAATGAGCACCGATTGGCTGCTCGTCAGGAAAGGGTGGATCAGGGCTTATTCTTTATCTCTTTTGCTGCCAGAGCCATTTTTGTATTTTTTGCACAAGTTTAAAAAAATAATTTTAGGCCTGAAGATTACATAAAACCCCCAAACATTATATTTTTTCTGAAAGCAGAGACCCCAGAGAATAAAATAGTGGTAGTTCCATTGTTTTATGTCGCATGATATTACCGCAAAATTTCAGTAAGAAATACAAGTAAATTAATTTTAGGGCACAAAAAAAAGCAATAAATTACCCTATTTTTTGTAAAATATAAAAGATGAGGTTGCAGTGAGTAAATAGATATCCAACTTGTCAAACCTTAAATTTGTGCGTGGTCATGAAATGGAGACAAACTTCAGTACCCTATATTTTCTATAGGTCGACACTTTTAACCACCTCCCGCCCGCCATATAGTAATATGACGGACGCAAGGTGGTTCTCTTGTTCTAGGAGGACGTCATGACGTGCTCCCATTCTCACCGCGCATGCACGGCTCCGGGAGCGTGCAGCACGGCGATCGGCGGTGCGCTGTGTCCCTTGGACACAGCGGATCACCGATCACGGAAAGAGCCGAAGATGTCGGCTCGGTCATGTGATCAGCTATGTCCAATCACAGCTGATCACATGTAAACAGGGAAATGCCGGTAATCGGCTTTCCGCAGAGGGGACATGTACACTGATCATCAGGGCACTGATGATCAGTGTAGCCCCAGCAGTGCCACTTGTCAGTGTCCATCAGTGCCTCGTATCAGTGCCACGTCAATGCTACATATCAGTGCCTACCAGTGCACATCAATGCCACATATCAGTGCCCATCTGAGCTGCCTTTCAGTGTCACCCATCAGTGCCAGTCAGTGCTGCCAATCAGTGCTGCCAATCAGTGCTGCCTATCAGTGCTATGTATCAGTGCCCATCAGTGATGCCCGTCAATGCCACCTACCAGTGCCTCCTCATCAGTGCCACCTATCAGTTCCCATCAGTGCAGCCTCATTAGTGCACATCAGTGAAGGAGAAAAATCACTTATTTACAAAAATTTTTGAACAAAAACTAAGAAACAAAATTTTTTTTTTCAAAATTTTCAGTGGTTTTTGGTTTAAGAAAAAATAAAAAACCCAGAGGTGATTAAATACCACCAAAATAAAGCTCTATCTGTCACAAAACAATTTCATATGGGTACAGTGTTGCATAACCGCACAATTTTGCCCTCTAGGCTTGTGGTTAAAGCCCCTTATAGGTCACTAGTTTAGCGCTATGGAGGAGGTCTGGTGCTAGAATTATTGCTATCATTTTGGCGTGTGCGGCGATATGTAACATGTGTATCACAATCGACATTGTCATTCGTAGGCACCCCAGTGTGTGCTTTTACGTGCGTATATATGGGGGGGGGCCTCAATTTTTTTTTTTGGGGGGGAAAGGTATGTGCTTGGTTGTAACTTTCGTTTTTTACAATTAAAAAAAACACAAAACTTTTTTAAGTCCCCTATGTGATGATTTTTTGGTGACAGGTTCTCTTTATTAAGGCATCCAGAGTCAAAAAGACCCTGCATGTCTCCCCAGTACTCCACTGAATGTAATGTGGTGCACATCGCACTGCATTACATTCTTTCCTGGCTTCCATGGCTGGGAATCTCTCACCGGGGACCTGGAAGTGACATCATAACGTCACTTACGGGTCAGGACAAGAAGGGGAGGGCAATGGACGTGTCTGCTCTCCTTCCCCCCTCTAGCCGACGCAATGAGCCGGTCCTGGGCAAGTGGAGCCTGGGAGAGACTGGCACTGTGTGTAAGCAATCGGCGGCAGCGCTGCCGCCCAAATGCTTCCACTTGACAGCTGAGCCTGCTGCTTGCCCGCAGCAGAGCTAAAGGTAGAAAAAAAAACTACCTGCCCGGTGCCCGGAACTACATGTCCCGATCGTCGGGCGATAGGAATCAAACATCCCTGCAGGTATGTATATTGTGCAGCAATTTGCACAGTTTTTTATGTACTGTAAAGTCACATCAGTCCCTGCCCGCCAGGAGCTTTCAATCTAAGTTCCCTATTTCATGTCCATACAGTACATAGGCATATTAGGGCCAATCTAGGCAGAAGCCTAATAATCTATTACCCAGTGTATTCATGTATGATGTGATTGAACCATGATAATTCTTACTTTCCTTGTTAAACCAGCAGATGTTTCACAATGAGTGAATTCCGAATACATCACGATGTGAATGAGCTAATCAGCTTGCTCCGTGTTCATGGAAGTGAGGGAGCAGAGCTTTACATTGACCTGCTGCAGAAGAATCGCACCCCGTATGTCACCACAAGCGTCTCTGCCCACAGTGCCAAGGTAATATGCTGTTTTCATTCCATACTGATTTAACATGGGAAATCACCCTCCAAAAATATGTATAGCATTCTTTAAAAGAATAAAAAAAATGTTAAAGTTGTTGTAAAGGAAAAAGGTTATTTACCTTAATCCATTCTCATTAAAGTAAAAAATGACCCTACAATAGCAGGCCCCCCCCCCCTCCCTAACACTTACCTGAGTCCTGTATCAATCTGCGTTATGCCCAGCTTTAGTTCTTCTCCCGGCTCTAACAGACCTGGCTGAGAGCATCTGGAGGCATTGGCTTCTGCTGCTGTCAGTCAAATCCTGTTAGGAGGAGGCGGGGTCAAGCCTTGCTGTTTGTCTATGGACGCAAAGCCTGTCTCGGGAGTGAGCCCGCATGTCCCTCCTTCCCCCAGTAAGCAGCTTGCTAGGGGGGCAGACCTGGGGTACCCCGCTGGCGCTCTCCCACTCCACAAGAGGTGGTTCCGGTCCACTCTGCAAAACTATTGCACAGAGCAGGTAAGTATAACATGTTTGTTATTTTGATAAGAAGAAAATGAACCTATACAACTACTTTTAACAATATAATACATACAGTATGGCCTTACAAGAAACCTGTCATGGTTCAAACATTGAGGTTGCCTTTAGAGAGCTTTCCTGAGGATGTTAATTGCCTGGCTGTCTTGCGAGGCCATTGAACTTTGAGATCTGAGTCTTGGAACAACTGTACAAGACAGGGTGTTTTGATTTTTCTGACCTGCAGCTGACTCTGGGTCAGGGGCTCAATAAGCTATAAATGTACTGACTCCCCAAGACAGCCAGTCAGCAATGACAGACCCCTATAACTTTTGACCATTTTATAGTAGAACTATAGGCAAAACCTTTTTGTTTTCATTCTGGTTAGAGTAAAGGAGGGTTAGTTGTCAGTTTTTTGCCATCTGTGTACTGTAGAGGAGATTTACTTTCTCTTCCTGTCCCATAGCCAAAAGAGGAAGTGAGAATCTATTTAGGCCCACAGGTCACCAGTACTAGTGTCCTCATTGAAAGATTTCCTAATTTGGGGACAACCCTAAACTTGAGATTTTCTTTTACTTTTGATGAAAAAAAGATAATCGGGACAAATAGGTTGAATCTCTCTAACGGGTGAACAGGCAGCAATAAAAACTTAATATGCATTCTAATCCATCTCTACTCTGTCCAAAACTGAAAAAAAGGATTGCCTTTTAGTTATACTTTAAATTCATTAATATGTTGAAACTTAAACCAGAGCTGCAGTCAAAATCTAAAAATAGAAAAGTCAGCAGCTACAAAAACTGTAGCTGCTGATTTTTAAAAAACAGAAATTCACGACTGGCCCTCTGGCCCTCAATCCAGCGGTGTCCTCACCGCAGCTGGTTTCACCGGCCTCTCTCCCCAGCGCCGGCATCTTAAAGTGGTAGTAAATTCTTTTTGTAAACTTTCATCTACAAGTAAACTTGTAGGTAAAATGAATATGCACCATTTAGGAGAAATTCACTCTTTGAAAGCCAGAGCATGCGCTGTGAAGGAATGGCATAGTTGTGCTGTTCCTTCAGAGCACTGCTGTGGCCAGGGACTCCTATGCATGCGATGTGATGTTACCGCGGCTCTGTCAGTCAGACGCCAGAGCTTGCGAACCCAGAAGGAAGACCAGGGGACGATGGAAGCCTCTGCAGCAGTGACAGTGTGCCACTGGAGGGATTCATTTTAAAGTAAGTCCTTCATAATGTGCTAGCATGCGATGCATACAAGCACATTTTGGCATTACCTTGGGGATTTTTCTATTTTTTTTTTGTGCGGTTTACTACCGCTTTAAGTGTGGTCACCCGGCTGTGACAGCTTGCCAATGCTGCCAATTCAGCACAAGGTGCTGATACTAAACAGGAGGTATTGCGTAGTGTCACAGCCAGGTGCCCACTGTGCATGCGCAAGTAGTGCTGCGCCTTCTGAATAGTGTCCTGCATGTGTACCAGAAGACTATGGGCAGGGAGGACAACTTCCGCTTCCAATCTCCTAGACGATCACAGCGAAAGTGGGAGCGCGTACCTTGCAAAATCGGGTACCCGCTTCCCAAAGGGAGCTGGGGACGAGGCCTTAAAGCGAAAGTCCCCTTTTAGGTGGAGCTCAGCTTTAAATCATTTTCCACCAGGATTTTTTAGCAAAAATCAGGTGAGGAAGTTGATTTCCAGGCTTTGCCTGTTGAGAGGCCTACAAGCTGTGCAAATAAGTGGCAACCACCCTAATCTATACCTAGCCTCCACAGTAAGGTGCACATGGAAGGGGCTTTGCACACTCCATCTTTTGAGGAGGAATGGGTTCCCTCCAGGCAAACTTGCCTTTATTTATCCTTTGATATATGTGCTCCAACTTGGAGACTCTGAAAATGATAGTCAGGAGTGCCATATACAGAGGAGCCTTGGCTAGGAACTGTGGCTTTCACATAGATGCAAATTGCAAATGTGTGTGACTAAAACCTGTTTTAAAGTAAACTGTTAGAGCTTATTTGGTTTTGTTGCAAGCTAGCTGTAAAGTGTGCTGGGAAACTTTCTGTTGGGAGACTTGGCATTTGGCCATGATGGGATGGGGTGGGCTGAGTAGAAGGCTGCACTAGGTGCCGTTTATATCTGATTGCAATTTATACTTTCACCTGTTTTTTTTCCCCTGATAGAGTTCTTTTAAAATGGATATGTAAAAGCTGCTGATTTCGAATTTTGAGTGCTAAGCTTTGCGTTGACTCTTTTAGGACCCTACTGTGTGAAAGCCTAGTGTCAGATCAACAATGTGCCTATTGTTTCATAGTTTAATAGCAAGAGTCACAATACAGAAACAAAAGTACACTATATTGCCACAAGTATTGGGCCAGCCCTCCAAATCATTAGATTCAGGTGTTCCAATTACCTCCATGGCCACAGGTATATAAAATCAAGCATACAGAGACATTTTGGACAATTTCATGCTCCCAACTTCATGGGAAGAGTTTGGGGATCATAAAGACATGGATGAGTGAGTCTGGAATGGAGGAACTTGATTGGCCTGCACAGCGTCCTGACCTCAGCCCGTTAGAACACCTTTGGGATGAATTAGAGCGAGACAGCGAGCCAGGCCTTCTCGTCCGACATCAGTGCCTGACCTCATAAATGCGCTTCTGGAAGAATCTGGTCAAACATTCCCATAGACACACTCCAAAACCTTGTGGACAGCCTTCCCAGAAGAGTTGAAGCTGTTATAGCTGCAAAGGGTGGGCCAACCCAATATTAAACCCTATGGACTAAGACTGGGATGCCATTAAAGTTCATGTGCGTGTGAAGGCAGGCGTCCCAATACTTTGGAAGTATAGTGTATAATATATCATTAATAATACACTGGATATTAGAAAATCATAATTGTACAGAGTCAATTGTAATCATACAAACCTTGAGAAGAAACCAAATGCTTTAATAGAGTTGTGTAAAACCATAAATATATCACCCTAGTTTTTATGATCCACATGGAAATTAAAGTTCTGAAAATGTAACGGTTAATACACATAAAAAGGTGTTACATAGAGTACCTCACGTTTTTTGTGAGACAGATTAGAAATCCTTAGTACATATTGTATTAATCCAAAATGTATATATGTAGGTGAAAATAGCTGAGTTTTCAAAGACACCAGAAGATTTTCTTAAGAAATATGAAGAGTTAAAATCTAAGAATGCCCGTAATCTGGACCCGTTGGTCTACCTACTTTCCAAGCTCACAGAAGACAAGGAGGTAAGCCAAGACAATATTTTAATGCTGTTTACACCATCCTGCTCTCTATGTATCAGATCTCATGAAACCTCAGTGGTGTCTAGGTTCTGCTTCAAAACATAACTTGCACAATAATATCATCCACAGACAAAAGATGGCGGAAATAATTATATTTACCAGTTATGTGTATAGGCCTCAGGGTTGTTCAATTCATATTGCCTAACGCCCGGGACCTGTAGTTCCGGGCACCAGGCAGGTAGTTTTTTTTTTTTTTTTGTTTGTTTTTTTTTTACCCCTTAGCCCTGCTGTGGAAGCATTTAGGAGGCAGAGCTACTGCCTAATTGCTTTCACACAGCCCACTACGGTGCCAGCCTTTCCCCCTGCCTGCTATATTTCCCAGGCTCCGCTTGCCCATCTGCAGGCCCGGGACCAGTTCGGGGGCTGCCAATGGGTATATGGGAGGGAGGAGAGCAGACACATCCGCTCCCCTTCTGTTCTGACTCGGAAGTGTGTGTGACGTTACTTCCAGGTCCCTATTGATAGATTCCCGGCCATTGAGGCCAGGAAAGAATGTAATGCAGTGCAATGTGAGCACAGGGAAGATATGCAGAGTCTTTTAGACCCTGGATGCCTCATAAGAGAACTTGTCACCAAAAGTCATCACATAGGGCTCTTTTATGTCCTTAAAGTTACACCCAATCATATAACCTCCCCGCCCCCAAAATTTTTCAAGGCCCCCAACCCCCCACATATGTATGCACGTACAGGGGCGGACTGACCATTTGGAAACTCGGGCACTGCCCAAGGGCACGGGGTCAGTAGGGGGCCCCATGAGATGGCCCTGGTACCTTTTTTCATAGGCTTTTTTGAGTTTGGGCAAGGACACAGGGGCCCCATGATCCCCTATTGCCCGGGGGCCCCATTAGTTGTCAGTCTGCCCCTGTTAACGTACAAACATAAAAGAACACGTTGGGGCGCCTATGCGAAATAATGACGATTGCAATACACATGTTACATATCGCTGCACACGCAGAATTCTAGCACCAGACGATCTCCGTAACGCTAAACTGATGACCTATAAGGGGCTTTAAAAGTATCACCTATAGAAAATATAAGGTACTGAAATTTGTCGCCATTTCAGGAGCGTGTGCAAATTTTAAGGTTTGACGTGTTGGATATCTATTTACTCGATGCAACTTCGTCTTTTATATTTTACAAAAAAATTGGATCATTTATTGCTTTTTGTGCCCTAAAATTAACTTAAGGGTATTTTTTACTGAGGTTTTGCATTTCCTAGACCTTTTTGATAATATCGTGTGACATAAAAAATTGGAACTACCACTATTTTATTCTCTAGGGTCTCTGGTTTCAAAAATATATCATGTTTTGGAGTTTTGTGTAATCCTAAATGATCTTTTAGACTTGTGCAGAAAACGGCTCTGACAGTGAAAGGGATAAAGGATGAGCCCGACACTCCCCTTTCCTGATGAGCACCCAATTGGTCTCTCCCCTCGCTGCTAGTCCCCGGGTGCGATGATGGAGCCAGGCAGGGAGGGGAGGAGGAGATAAGCAGACATGTAAGTCGCCATAAAGCCCTTTTTGTTTTTAAAAGCCCCAGACATTACTTAAAGCAGATTTAAATACGGTTAAGTAGATTGGGGCACCTATTTGGTCCCTGGACAAGTATTTTTTTTCAAAAATTTCCACACCCCTGGGCCTGCACAGGGTTGACAGTATGGTGCTAACTCAACCTTGTTGATAGACTGGTCAACTTCAGAACAATTGTTAGAATTTGATTTGAAGGTAGACTTAACAATTGTTAACCAATCCAGATAAAATCAGGGAATGATAAGCTAGCCATATGCTGATTAAAATTTGGCTGGTTCAGCAGGTATCGCCCGAATGTCAACCGGTGTGTGGTTGTTCCCACTCAACAGAATTTGATCGTTTGATGGACTTCTGTTGCAGAGACATGTTGGAGAATTTTTCTCGATCAGCGGTTGTAGTCAACGAGTAGCAGTCATAGATCAATGAATTCTGACAACGCCGTGTGCAGCTGAAAGACTACAATGTCCTAGTGGAGTAATGGCAGGGAGGGGATACAAACATCCACCTAATTTGTGTGGATTGAAGAATCTGTTTGTTTTTCTTGTGGCTGAAAAAAAAAAAAAAAAACCTAAGGGCTTGTTTACACTTGATTCAGAATGTGTTTCACTTCAAAAAATTATACCCCATGTTGCTTTCCTGGTGCTTCAAAGTGTCTCTAAAGCCTCCATAAAAGTCTATGTTAAAGCTCGCTAACACCGTGTGCAAAGAACTGATGATATCCCCAAATCAACTGTGAAAGATGTAGAACCTTCACACATACTCTGCATTTGCATGATAAGCACATAAACGCTACCTCTTAGATGTCCATTATATTTGGTTTTCATCATCAGCATCATCATCTTCTAGCAATTTTTTTAAACATTGAGAAATGCATGTTTTACAGTATAAGAGGCTTTATGATGCCCTTGATTCTTGACATACCTAAGGCAGAATTTCTGCCTTTGTGCATTTTTAAATTTCCAAGAAAGTAACATTCATGTTTATTGTTTTATTTAAAGACACTTCAGTATCTGCAACAGAATGCTAAAGACAGAGCTGAGCTGAGCTGACAACCAGCAGTGTAGCTTCTAGCAGTGTTCCATCCCTCCCAGCACATCCAAGATCTCCTTGCAGGAACTGGAGGAGCTACGGAGGCAACTGGGGAATGTAACTGCTTCAACAACAGCTGGACCACAGGTGAACATTGTTTCACATTATCCTGTAGTAATGTTTTCGGCATTTAGTGCCACAAATGTGGTCCATTTCAAATGGTGGTGTTTAACTTTGTGTCTTTGCTCCTATTGTTTCATCAGCCAGTGGAAGTTCTACGGAAACATCTTAGAGACAAGCTGAATAAGAAGAATGTGGGGCAGCCAATTCCTGTGTTCCCATCTTGGGTTTACGAGAGACCAGCATTGATAGGAGACTTCCCTTCGCTCTCCAATATAAGTACAGATGTCACGGTACCAATAGGTATGCCTGTATATCTTACACAATTGCACTTTTGCTGCTATTGTATTTTTTTCTGTATCTTCCATTTTATACTTGGAGATTGCAGTTCAGCAGACATTAGTCGTAGAGATCCATTGAAACGGATGTGGAATGTCCTGCTAACAAATATTGGAATTCTTGATAAAAGGAAAAAGAATCCAATATGCTGTCTTCCAACAAGCTATTTTTTTTTTTGTTCTGGGATGTGTTCTATTCTGGGTTCACAACCTATTGGCAATGACTCTGATCATTTTTCAAGTGTGGAAATCGAGAATTCAGCTGTAGACGTAGCCCACTGACTCACTCTTTGTTTTGTTAAAGACTAGTTACCATGATGTTTGGCTTCAGCAATATCTCTAAACAATTTCTCTTTCAATGCATAGGGACACTTCCCCTCCCCACGCAAGAGGCAATTATCGTAGAAGACCTCCTTTACATTCTAATTGGAGTTGATGGGCGATATATTACTGCACAGCCGCTGGTGGGACATCAGACACGCTCCTTTTCAGTAGATCCAAACCTGGACTTATCTGTAAGGGAGTTGGTGAACAGAATTCTGCCAGTAGCTGCCAGCTACTCCACTGTGACCAGGTACTAAATCATACTCATCCAAGGCAACGCAAAAAAAAGTATTGGGGTTTATGTAGGCTTAGTGTGTAGAAATGATAGCATGAAAAGGTTTCAAATAGCAAGTGCTTAGTATTGATGGGTATCTAAGGTATCTACACCCTAATTATCTATTCAAAAGATCTAAACAAGATTTTCTGGGTACCGACAAAGACACAGACATTTAAAGGTAAAAACCTCATATTTTTATTACAAAAGATATAATATTAAAACAACATTATTTGTGTAAAAATCCCTCTGAATACGCTGTACTACAATCACACCTATGGTGCTATCTCACACCCACAAGTTACTATTCCAAAATAAAGAGTCTGTAGTCAGCCATTCTCGACATGTTTCGAGGTCTCCTGCTTCTTCAGGTGTATATAGAGGGAATAATAGTTCTATAACAAAACAAAAAATATACAAAATAATATAGTGTGTGTATGTATGTATGTATATATATTTTTTATTTTGTTTTTTTTTTTTTTTTTTTTTATATATATATATTTTATTGGATAACAGTTTCTCTAATGCGGTATCTGACTTCTGCTATTCTTGCCTAAGTGGGTGCCTGTCAGAAATGGGTACTTGCTAACCTGAACAAAAATTAAACTCTTAATAATGGTATAGGAAGGGGAAGGAGGAGGATAAATGGAACATTCATTTTTAAGTGAAGTTCCGCTTTTAAAAGGATGAATGTTATCAACTACTAAATTATTTTGTGGTGAATGAATCATCTGAGTAAATATTCATTGTGCAAATACAAAGGACAAGTTGTGCCTACGTTTCATGAGGCTTTCTTTGTCATAAGCACATACAGGGGTTAGAGAGAGGTTTTGTGGACATGGACTCTGGAAGACTGAGATTGAGCTCTACAGTCACTTTTGCAGGAGTTGTTTTCTTATTCCGGGTCAAAACCCTGTGCAATGTCCTTTTGTCTCTTTTGGTCAGTTGACCGCACTTATGCTTATCAGACGACATTTTACTGGAAACTGTATATGCCACCATAAGCTTTGATACTGTACCTCGCGAGGCATCAGCTAAGCAGGCACCAACAATTTGCCCTCTTTCAAGCTCAGTAAGTGCTGACATGACTCTATGTTACTAGCAGCACATGCAGTGAATGATGGAAATGAGGCTTCTCACCTGTTAGCTAGATGTCTCATCACACAGTGGAAACAAAGGAATGTTACATCACTTCCGTTTTCAGTGCAAAACATTGCCTCTTTCACATCTGTAAATCATGTAGTGTTTCTATATTTTTGTCCAAACCCGTGTACTTACATAATTAGATTGATAAGAGAAACATGTTCACCTCCTGATCATTATTAGACCTCGTTCACATGGACACTGAGGCCCATTCTCCATGAATTGGCCATTTGTTTATGCAGCTAGAGCTGCCAGATGCTGTGTGCTGGTAGCCCTTTCATGTCTATGGTGCAGAAGCTGTGCACACACTGTGTGCAGAGTCAGTCACCGGCACCAGCAGTCACATTAGGACATGCGACTGTGTCCGTACAGCCTCTGCATCTCAATAGACTTACATGGGCTGCCTGCACAAAGAACCTGGCAGCTCCAGCGTCATAAACAAATGGACAGTCTTCAGTGTACGAGCCTCAGCACTCATATGAATGAGGCCTTCTGTTGGGCTTATTGATGTCTGAATTCTACTTTTTTTTTTTTAAATTTTGTCAACTCTGCATGTGCCATTAGCTATTGCACCTCCATTAAAGTCCACGCCTCTGCTACTTCCCACAGATTCATTGAAGAAAAATCTTCTTTTGAATATGGTCAGGTTAACCATGCTCTAAGTGCTGCAATGCGGACGCTAGTGAAGGAATACATGATACTTATTACTCAGCTGGAGCACTTGCAACGCCAGGGCCTGCTGTCCTTGCAAAAACTGTGGTTTTATATCCAGCCCACTCTAAGGACAATGGAGGTATTGGCGTCTCTTGGTAAGTTTTCGCAATCATTAGAACCTCTGTATACCTCTCTACATAAAATGAACAAGAGCTTGCCTTGTCCTTGTAAGTGCCTCATAGGATATGATGGGTTCACATTGGAAAATGCCATTTGGACATAATGAAGTTCTTCTTGTTTTAACTTTATTTTTGCTTATGAACATTTTGGGAAGGAATTAACAAAGAGTTGTGCAAGCGCAATGCTTGTACCACTCTCCTGAGCACAAAAATAGAGCAGATGCTGCTTTTCATTAACAAAGGGGCGCCACTCTCCTGAACACAAAAATAGAGAAGATGCTGCTGTTCACTCACAAAGGGGCACCACTCTCCTGAACACAAAAATAAAGCAGATGCTGCTTTTCATTAACAAAGGGGCGCCACTCTCCTGAACACAAAAATAGAGAAGATGCTGCTGTTCACTAACAAGGGGCGCCACTCTCCTGAACACAAAAATAGAGCAGATGCTGCTGTTCACTAACAAAGGGGCGCCACTCTCCTGAACACAAAGATAGAACAGATGCTGCTGTTTACTAACAAAAGGGTGTCATTCTGCTGAACACAAAGATAGAGCAGATGCTGCTCTTCACTAACAAAGGGGTGCAAGTTCTCTGTTCTGCTGTGACAGATACGACACAGAGAAGTGGCACTGCATGCTCCGATCTCTATGCCTGTCCCCGCCCCTGCTCAGCTCAAAGTGGAAGGGAGAAGGAGAGTTGTTACATTTTCAGGCTCTGCTCGTATATTGTAATCTCTGCACGGGCAGAGAGGGGATATGAGCTGTCTGCAGACAACTCACATCCTTTATGTCAAGGTCACTGTGAAATAGAGACTGGTGCAGCTTGAGCAGTTAGACCTGAAACAGGCCTATCTGCTTAGTTAATGTGGCACTCACCACTTCTGGCAGTTTTTTATTCCATTATAATGGCACCGGAAGCTTGGGTAATTCCCTGCTATGAAAGTTTTTAATAGCCTAGGAAAGTAAAATAACCAAAGACCAATGCAATAAAATCCTCTACATCAGTTTCAGAATTTTTCTGGCATGTTTCAAATTCTTATTTCTGTCCTTTCTTCAAATGGGTGTTTTAGGAAGAGAAATATACTTTTCATTTGTCATAAAAGTGCAACCAAAGTCGTGGGGTGTTTGTATCAGTTTTGATGCACAGCAATAAATTTTAATTGACTATGAGACAAATTTGACATGAGATTGCAGCTTGATTCCCAACCACCCACCACCACCCCAGCTTTGCTTCAATAGTGCCTCTGACCAGTCCTTCATTCTGTGCACGTTTTAAGAAATAAAAATAAATGTTTTAGATTGAGGGATTGCAGGCGCTGGGGTCGCATGAAAAACTTACTGCAAATCCTTTGCTGTATTAACCACTTGCTGCCGAATCACATACCTGTACATGATTGTGTTACAGTGGTTATACCGGGGTTATGGCTGCATTTGTCAGCCATAATCCCGGTAGCAAATATTTCAGCCGGCCATTCTCTAGTCTATCCTATTAAATTAATCCAGGCAGTTCATTAGCTGCTGGATCACTTTTACAAGCAGCAAGAAGGGTCATCCAACCCCCCCACCCTTTTGTGCTTCACACCGATGCCATACCTTGTGCTTCGGCACACCAAGGAGCCTGGGATCCGATCCGGCAGTAGGAGACTAGAAGTGACAAGCATGTTCGGAACGTCTGGTTAGGGCAAATGTAAACACCTCCATTATTATTTTTTTTTTTTTTTTCCTCATGCTTTCAAAGGTAGAGGAGAGATCTGGTGTCCTATAGATCCCAGATGTTTCCATAAAGAGGACCTGTCATGCTTTATTGCTATCACAAGTGATGTTTCCAGTTCTTGTGATTACAATAAAAGTGATAAAAAAAAATAAAAATAAAGGGACAGGTAAAAATTTAACATTTTTTAAAATAAAAAAAAATGTTAACGCGCCCCTATCCATCAATGCTCGTATGCAGTGGCGAACACCTTATTTAGGTCACGCATGCATAAGTAAATGTTTGCACCACACATGTGAGGTATCGCCTTGAATGTTTCAAGAGAGCACAATAATTCAAGCTCTAGACCTCCTTTGTAACTCTAAACATTTTTAAAGCATCGCCTATGGGGATTTTTCAGTAAAAGCGTGCACAATTTTAAAACTATCTAAAATATTTATATACTCTGAGTAACATGATTTTTATATTTTACCCAAAAAAATGGGTATTATATTGTGTTTTTGTCGTATTAAGATTCATTAAAGTGTATCTTTTCCCCAAAAAATTGCTTTTGAATAACTGCTGTGCAAATAATGTGTGATATAAAAAAAAATTGCAACAACCACCATTTTTATCTCCGGGGCCTCTTAAAAAAAAGAGAAAAAGCTCCCTGTTTATTTACATCATTGAACTTTAATTGATTGTGTTTTTGTTTTTTATCAGCCACTTCATTGGATAAAGGAGAGTGTCTAGGTGGTGCCACACTCAGTTTACTCCATGATAGAACCTTTGGTTATACAGGCGATACTCAGGCCCAGGAGCTATGTCTGTATTTGACTAAGGCAGCCAGCACTCCATACTTTGACATCTTGGAGAGGTGGATTTATAGAGGAATCATCAACGATCCTTACAGGTAAGAGAAATGTTTTCATTCTGAATTTTAATTGAAACTGTAAATAATGGTGTGGATTTTGATCATGGTCATATTTACCCTTTAACAGCTTACGTGCCGCCCTATAGCATAAATCCCGCTACAGGGTGGCACGGCTGAGCAAAATCATGTGTATATATATATATGTGAATTTGTAGTTGCGGGTAGGGAACACGCATGCTACCTGCTCTGCTAGTCGCAGCCTTGGCTGTCAATCACCTGGTCCCAACCGGTGATCGCCAAGTATCACCGGCTGGGAAAAGACCTATGTATAAACAAAACAGATCTCTCCCCTATCAGCTCTTGCACACTGCTTTGTATGGCTCTGCATACAGTGTAAAGCACACACACAGCACACAGTTAACCCTTTGATTGCCCCAGATGTTAACCCCTTTCTGCCCAGTGTCATTAGTACAGTGTCGGTGCTTTTTATTAGCACTGATCACTGTATTCGTGTCATTGGGATGTCAGTGACACCAAGTCATTTCCCCCCAGTGTCAGAATTCCCACTGCAGTCCCGCTATAAGTCACTGATCGTCCCCATTACTAATTAATTTACACGTACTGGGATTTTTTTTAGTGAAGACATATAGCAGAATACATTTTGGCCTAAATTTATACTGGACATGTTTAATAGCAATAAGTCTAAAGTATATATTTTTTTTTTTCTTCAAAATTGTCCCTCTTTTTTTTTTTGTTTTGTTCATAGCGCAAAAAATAAAAACCGCTGAGGCGATCAAATCCCACCGAAAGAAAGCTCAATTTGTGTGGGGGGAAAAAAACCCTAAATTTCATTTGGGTGCAGCGTTGCATGATCGCGCAATTGTCAGTTAAAGTACCGCAGCGCCGTATCGCAAAAAATGCCCTGGTCAGGAAGGGGGGGGGGTTAAATCCTCTGGAGGGCAAGTGGTTAACATATGTGGTCCCCAAATAAATTACATGGCTTTTATCGACCTAAGATTTTATTGTGCTATGATGATCAAGCTGCCAAAGAAGGAAGATTTAACAGCAACATAAGCAAAGTGTCTAAATTGGTGTCACTTATATAAGAAAGCCATTCAGTGGCAAGCTGGGGTGAGAACTGTAGGTATGGACTATTCATATGGACAAAGTTTGGATTGTTAATAAGCAATCCATAATGAGCATTTATAAAGTACTGAATTTTGATTTAACCAAACATTCACATGCACCAGGAGGATTTACCTGCAGTGAATATTCAGTCAATGTCAGATTCACTGCTTTGTAAAAATTTCTCAGTGTGTATTGTGATCCAAATTTTGCTCAGCCAAGCACTTATGTTGTGCAGGAAGTGTGATCTAGCTTGGGGAGGCAAGAGATACATCATGAATATATATTAGTCACCTATCTCCCTCCACCCAAACTGAAGAGATGAACTCTGCTTATAGATAGTTTACAAAGGCTAAAGGGCTTTCTACTTTTTCTTCTGTTGTTTTTTTTTTTTTTTTTTTTTTTTTTAATCAGATCTTTATTAGATTTTTTAACTTTTTTTTTTTACAAACAAACGTGCAATTTGTGCACGGCAAACTGCAAACAAATCAAATAAAATTGGTCATCAGCAGCCAGTAAATAACCCATACGTCCCAAGCCATATGCATACAGGCAGTGCCGTTATAGTCCCAGGCCATAGGCATACACGCAGTGCCATTATAGTTCCAGGAACAATCAACAGTATTCCTGCCATTGCTTTTTAGTTGGTATTGCTTATAAAATATACAGTAACTTTCCAAAAACCTTCTTCTGTTTTTTTTAAGTGATTGTAAATGCTCAAATTTGTTTCTCTTAAAATAATAAACATGGCATACATACCTGCTCTGTGTAATGGTTTTGCACAGAGCAGCCCCAATCCGCCTCTTCTGGGGTCCCCTGCTGGTACTCCTCTTCTTGGTGTGACCTCATAGCAAGCTGCTTGCTGTGGGGGCACACCTGCATGCTTACTCACGAGCCGTGCTGTGTACGTCCATAGACACACACAGTGCGGCTCGACCCCATCCTTTCTGCTCACTGAATTTGAATGACAGCAGAAGGGGTCCATGGCTCCTGCTGCTGCCCGAGTCCCTGTGAGGAGAGGAAGAGAGGGGAGAGAAGACAGTGCTGGATGGATACAGACTTGAAAAAGAAAGGAGGAGGAGGGAAATAGTATGGTGTTTTTTTCCCTTAATGCAGACAATGCATTACAGGGAAAAACACCAAGGTTTTAGAACTACTTTAAATATTCATATGTTTATAGAGACTATTCTGGTTTTTGTGTATTTGTCATATAGTATTCCCAATGTTTTGATAATCTTTGTGTTTGACACAGTGAGTTTATGGTAGAGGAACATGAGCTGCAAAAAGAGAAAATCCAGGAGGATTACAATGACAAGTACTGGGATCAGCGCTATACTATTGTACAACAACAGATCCCTTCCTTCCTGCAGAAGGTGGCAGACAAGATTCTTAGTACAGGTAACAAAGAATACATAGAATTGCCTGTCTTTCACTCAATGCCTCTTATCTTTTTGGTGATTTACTTATTTGGCGTTACATATAACTACTATATGGCCACATAGGAAAATGATTTGGCAGTAGCTGTGACTAAATTCTAAGCATGTTGTTGACTCTTTATTGTGCAAATGTTGCCTGTCACCACCAGTGAACTACTGGATTTAATCTTCTAACCTGCACTGCAGAAATTGCTTTCTGAATCAACTCTTAAATTGTAATGACTCCTCTATGGATTTTATTATCCAGGAAAGTACTTGAATGTGGTGAGAGAATGTGGCCATGATGTCACGTGTCCAGATGCCAAGGAGATTGTGTACACACTGAAAGAACGTGCCTATGTGGAGCAAATTGAAAAGGCTTATAGCTATGCTAGCAAAGTACTGCTGGACTTCTTGATGGAAGAGAAGGAGCTGGTGGCACATCTCCGGTAGGACAACACATGAAGAATATTCTAACCAAATCAGTTTTTAGATTTCCATCGTTATCTTGTATTACAGGGGTGACTAACGTAATTCCATCACGGGCAAGATCAGGATTATGAGTTCCCTCAAAGAGCTGGTTGTATCTGTAAGATTAGATGTCCAGAGCACCTCACCCTCCTTACATCAGATGTCCAGAGCCCTCTCCCTACCACCACCACCACCATCATCACCATCATCAGAGGTCAAGAGTCCTGCACCCCCCTTACCTTGTGCTGCTTCCGGGAAGGAGTTTGGGGGCAAAGTTTGGAGGAAGACCAGGGGAGGGCTGGAGTCAGCTGCCAGAGTCTGCTGAATGCTGATATCAGGGGAGGCGGATACGAAGGATGCTGCACCTGCACAGAGAGGTGCAGGATCTGAAGAAGGTGTTCTTTCCTGTTCTCTGCTGCTGACTGTTGAGATAGGGGCAGAGACCAGCCTCTCTGCAGCTGCACAGAGAACCGCAGGAGCTATTGGAGGAGTTCTGTACTCCTCTCTGCTGTTGTCTAGCAGCAGAGAGGTATACAATGGATGGCATGAATGAAGCCATCCATTGTATACAACTGTCATGTGACCTGCTGTGATTGGTCACAGCAGGTCACATGGTACCGGCAACGGGGCCGGTACTCAGATCTGTCATCGGCCGTGTCCGAGGTACACGGCCGGTGACAGATCGCGAGGCTGAGCAGGTGCGCAAACTGCGCATGCCCGAAAGGTTGCCATATGGTGTCCACCCAGAACAGTGAAGGTTTTTGCCGGCCGCCATTTGGCCATAGGTCGGGCGGGAACCTGTTAAGAAAAAAAAATTGTTCCTCCATTTATTTCAAAAAACAATGTGGATGAAGAATCGCTAGAAGTCTGAATATAACTATATCTCAATATATTGATGGTCTTCACATGGTGAAAATAAAGTTTATCCTATACATATAGGAGATTGTTACATGATGTTTCTGGACTAATTTCTATATAAAGTCATGTTGTATTATCGTTGAAAGTTCAGTTGATCTCAGGCAGTCAGAGAAGCTGCCCAACCCATATATCTTTACTAATTCATTACACTCTCTTCTTTTCAGGTCCATTAAACATTATTTCCTCATGGACCAAGGAGACTTCTTTGTGCACTTCATGGACCTGACCGAGGAGGAGTTAAAGAAAACTGTGGAAGATATAATACCAACCAGGCTGGAGGCTCTATTGGAGTTGGCTTTACGAATGAGCACTGCAAACACTGACCCTTTCAAAGATGATCTAAAGGTACCAAGAGAGAAATAATCTGGTGCTTCAAATCAGGTTCTGACAGTTGAAAGTAAGACAGAAGTTTGGGCTTTTTATCAAACTATATGCCTTTAAAATATTAAAGACCAAATCCAGCCCAAACTTTTTTTTTTTTGGCAAAGTATTGGAACTTCCATTTTCTGCTCTTTTTGACCTCGTTAGAGATTTCTACCCTTATTTTTTCACACCATGATAAGAAATAAGGGCTGGGGAAAGAAAGTGTGGGGGGGGGGGTTGTTTTTTTTGTTTTTTTGTGACCCCCTTCACCAGCATAGGTAATGAAAGGAACAGAAAGAAGATCTAGACACTCTCTCCCGTATGCACCTTATCCAAAGAAACATGTTGGCTGGAATTGAGCTTTAAGGAACCCATACTGTGCTTTTTTCACACTCATGTTGGCGTCTTCTACACGCTTACATGAGTGAAAGCAGCAACAGAGCAGTGAAAGGAAAGTGGCTAAGTGGAGAGTAGTGTGTGTGTGTGCGTGTGTGTAAAAAAAAAAAAAAAAAAAGCCAAAAATGCTATTGTGTTGCAATGTGACCATGTTTGATCCACATAGTTTGGAGAATTTTGCAAGGCTAAAGCATGCCATATATGATTAATTTGCCTCCTTTCAACCAGCGGGTTGCCCATAGATGGATCGACATTCGGCCGGCCCCTACTGAACTGACAGAATTTCGATCCATCTCTGACCAGCTTCAAATGTTCACCTCTGTTTGAGAAGGGGTCAGCACCTCACCAAGGTTCCACAGCCAAGTGTGACTATTCAGGACATGCCCAGTGAAAAAGCAAAGGTCTGACCTTTAAAGTCGATGTAAGCCCTCACATTTACCCAGTGAAGTGACTGGCCTCAGGTGATAAACAGAGATTAAACCAATCTTCCTATATAAGTTGTACCTGTTTTATCTGTAGTATTCTCTTCTCTACATCAGTTCAAAGTGCAAAATTTATAAAGCTTGTCTGAGCTGTCAGAAAAAGGGGGTGGAGAGCTGAAATTACACTCTGAAGAGCTCAGTGAGGGAAGGGACACACTCCACTTCATACAGTTCACCAGAGCAGAGCTGAGGCTGTCAATCTGCTGAAGGTCCCTCCCCGTCACCATTTTTCTCTTGGTGTCAGGAAAACTTGTCAGAAGTGATTCATGCTGATAGCAGAGGAATGAAGTCGCAGACAGAAATGACCGTTCAGACTCTTAAATACACAATAGAAAGGAATATACTTTGTCCACATTTCATGTTTCAGGTTTACAACCACTTTAACATACTTCAAAGCTCTTTTGTATTGGTGACACAACTTATCCTTCCTACTTAATTGTAATAGAACTGAAGAGCGGCATGTGCTTCCTTTTGTTTTTAGATTGAGCTGATGCCTCATGATCTCATCACCCAGCTTCTTCGTGTCCTTGCAATTGAAACTCGGCAAGAGAAAGCCTTGATTAATGCTGATCCCACTGAGCTAGCACTTAGTGGGCTGGAGGCCTTTTCCTTTGATTACATTGTCAAGTGGCCTCTTTCATTAATAATAAACAGGTAAAGTAAACCTATTCTACACTAACCAGAAAATGTATTGAAATACTGTACGTCTATTTTGTTTATACTGTATCTCTCTTTAGATTCATTTTTATGAAAATGAAGTAAATGTAAAGTTTAATGGGTTTTTTTTTTTTTTTTTTTTCAACTATAGAAAGGCTCTGACACGTTACCAGATGCTTTTCCGCCATTTATTCTACTGCAAACATGTGGAGAGATTGTTGTGCAATGTTTGGATCAGCAACAAGGCAGCGAAGCAGTTTTCCCTGCATTCTGCTAAATGGTAACGCTATGACTGTAGATACAAGTGTTAAGGTAGCAATACTGTTAGAAATAGACGTAGAAAAAAAAAATACTAGGGGTTGATTTACTAAAGGAGTAGAGATTGCGATCTTTGCAAAGTAAATTAATTCCTAGATGGCTAAACTCACTGAACTGGTTTTAGGTGAAAACTGTATGCTACCCCTCTCATCTACGTAATAAGTTGAGGTTGGAGATCTCAAAGCAGGGATTATAACTTACTCTGTGCACTGTGTGTTACATGTTCTGCTAAAGATTTAAACCATTACGGTTTAAATCTTTAGTATAGGAGGGTATTCTTCAAAAACTTCATATTTCAGTTTAATCCATGGGTACCTATATACATTTTGAACTATTGGCCAATAGATAGCACAATAACTTTTGTTATCTCTGATAGGAAAATGATTTATAGTTTTGGGGGAATAAACCAGACCTGTGGTATAGTCCTCCAGGACTTCCATCATTTTCTATTTTTGTATTTAATTTAAAGGCAGAAACAAAAAATGCAGTTATTATGTGACTTGTTATTAAAACGACACTAAAAATGTATCTTTCTTTTTAACCACTTGCCGACCACCCTATAGCAGAAATACTGCGCAAAATAACGTGTGTATATATACATGATTTTGCATTTCCAGGTAGGGGGCGCATGCCCTACCCACGACGCCATTTGCGGCCGCGGCTGTCAATTGCCGATGCCCAGTGAATTCCAAGGATCTCCGACGGGGGGGAGGACTGTTTTGCTTACTAACAGTCCTCCTCCCTGTCAGCTCGGGCACACTGCTGTGGATGGCTGTGCACAGCACAGCCATCCTGAGCTATGTGATTACAGTGAATCTCACACACACACCCCCCCCTAGTAAAACACTCCCAGCACACAGTTAACCCTTTGATCACCCCTTATGTTAACCCCTTCCTGCCCAGTGTCATTAGTACAATGTCAGTGCTTTTTTTTTTTTTTTTTTTTTAGCACTGATCATTGTATTTGTGTCACTGGGGATTTCAGTGACACCAAGTCAGTTCCCCCCAGTGTCAGAATGTCCGCCACAGTCCCGCTATAAGTCGCTGATGACAGCCATTACTAGTAAAAATTAAGAAAAAAAAATCTCAGTATCTATGCCGCCATTTGTAAACGCTATAACTTTCATGCAAACCAATTAATTTACACGTATTGGGATTTTTTATTTTTTTTTATAGCAAAGACATGTCGCAGAATACATTTTGGCATAAATTTATGACGAAATTAGATTTTTTTTTTTTTTTTTTTTACTGGACATGTTTAATAGCAAAAAGTAAAAAATATTGTTTATTTCTCAAAATTGTAGTTCGTTTTTTTCGTTAAAGCGCAAAAATAAAAAACACACAGGTGATCAAATACCACCGAAAGAAAGCTCAATTCGTTGGAAAAAAGGATGTAAATTTCACTTGAGTACAGGGTTGCATGACCGTGCAATTGTCAGTTAAAGTAACGCAGTGCCGTAATGCAAAAATTGGCCTGGTCAGGAAGGGGGGGGGGGGGGGGGGGGGGGGGGGGGGGGAAATCCTCTGGAGGGCAAATGGTTAAAGTTTAGTAAATAATGTACAGATTTCTTACCTTTTTGAAAGCTAACAATACCGAAAGCAAACAAAATAAAAAGCAGGTAAAAAAATAAATATATTCAGTGGACTGCAGGTGCAGTGTTTTACTCGCTGCAGACTTCGTACCAAGGTATAGATCTTCAGGAAGAATCACTGAACTAGAAGTGCGGTGACGTTACCACACTGGTGGTCCATTGACCGCTACAGTCCCCCTGCCATAGTGGTCTTGTGGTGAATAACATGACTGTGCAGGCAGAGCCGCAGACAGCCATGCTGAATTCAAATTTTACAGAAGTTGGCGGAGAGAAGAACCCCAAGTTTCTGTAAGCGAGGGAATGTGGACTCTGACACATGTGATTCCCATTCACTCACTCTATGGATATAACATGAAACCTGGACCGAAATATGGAGTCCGCATTTAAAACTGAACTTTAGGAACTCTGCCACTTTGTAAAATGTGCGGGCTTACCTTGGGTTACCGTCAGGGAGGTACATACCACCACCTGCACTTATCTCTTTTATTTACAACTGACTGTTTTTCTGTGTGCTAGTTGTACAGCTTTTGCTATACTCCCAACTCTCTGACAGTAGTGATGCTGCCTTCTCACACCAAGCATCAGCTCTGCCCATCCCTCCTCTTCACTGGTCATTAACAGAAGGCTTTGTCTTTTATGAATGGGTTCACATTAATCCAAAGTGCTCTGTGTTTGGGCAGGAGGGGCAGAGCGGTTGTATAAGACTCTGCAGCTGCTAGAGCTAAGACCAGAAGGTCCAACACCGGAAGTAGGTATAATCCCTGTGCTCAGTAAGCCTGTAATTAAAGGAAGCTGTCTATGAGGTGGCATGCACTTTGTTGGACTTAACACATAATAATCAGGCATATTTTGAAATCTTGGAGTTCAGCTTTAAATATTCAGTGCAGTGGCCATTAAATTCTTAGCATTTTGTTTCTGCTCCTTGAAGTTAAATAGTGTTATCCTATGTGTCCATGTACCCTATTTTAGGCTAGTAGCATTTTTTCAAGCTTCAGCGTTTAGGAGCAAAAAAAAAATAGTTTTGTAGAGTTTTTTTTGGGAGCATTTTTCCAGCAGAAATAAAAACACTAAACTGTCCTAAATGCTACTAAAAATGCTCCTAACTGCTTTTTCTAGCTTTTTTTTTTTTCCCTACATGTACTGTAAAAACGCTAATGCTCCTAAATTGTTTTTTTTTTTTTTACAGTGTTTTTTTGTAGCTTTAAAAAAAACTCTAGCGTGCATGGAGTCTTCTAGATCAATAAACACACACACACCCCCAGAAAAATCGTAATCAAAGTATAAAGGGCTTCCTTCTACCCCACTGCCACTTCCTCTGCCTCTTTTGTCGGCAAGTTGTCTTGTAATGTGTATTATGGTTGCCGCTGTCAAACTGACCTTCTGACAGTGTTTCTAAACACTGTTCAGACTTGAAGTAGAGGGATACAAAGTAACCGTACACTATTTTATTCAAAGATGAGCTTCCATCTGCATATTATGTCAGCTAAATCAACCTGACGTGTATAATAAAATGTATACTTTTTATCTACATGAACAATATATTTTTTTTGGCTAGGTTCACACTGCTGCAATCCGATTTTGATCTATCTTTCAGTGCAATTATGTAATGCAACTTGGATGTTACTTTGAAGTGCATTGCATAGTCTATGGGGCCAAAATTGTGCTGGAATCCCACCAGAGTAGTACTGGAACCTTTTCCAAAATTTCTCTGTGCTGAGTTGCATTGATATGAATGGACACCATTGAAAACAATGTGATTTTTATTGTCATGCGATTCAGTGCGACTTATGTCACATCTGAAATCGCTCTAGTGTGAACAGAGCCTTAAACGAACACTGGTCAAAGTAGTAAAACAATTCATCTTATGTATCATATTGATATACAAACCAACTGTCATATTTATAAAGAGAAGGAATAATATTACTAAAAGAGAAGTTATCAGCCCCATCACAGAATGATCAGGTTCACGTCCATTGTGTATAAATCTGCTTTTAACTGGCTGAACTTATCAGCAAGATCTTTTACAGCAAAAACAATAACATGTTTTGCTTTAATCAGTCTTTCCTTAGTGTCTGTCTCCTGAGTTGACTATATAAACAGTCCACTAAAGGATAAGTTCACCTTTGCTAAAAAATAATAAATGCACATTTTTTTGGAGGTAAAAAATGTGCATGTATTTATTTTTTTTTTGGTTGCAGGAGCCTGTAAACCATTGCACCAGCGATCAGTAGATCGATGGTGCCATGCAGGTCTCCTGTAGACCTGTCAGTATATCTGCTTTCCATAAGGGATGTACGGGCAAGCAAATATATGGACAGGAAGAATCAATGAACTGCCGCTAAGGCTGTTGGGAACATTGTGAATGAGTAATGCAGCAAGGTGGGCGAAGCCCTGCACAGCCACGTGTTTTTAACATTTTGACAGCTATCGGGAAATAAGATCCCCCGCTAGGTACACATGGGCCGAATATTGGCTGGTTCTACAGAACTTGGCTAACATTCGGACCGTGTAAACACTAGCCTGTCCAATAGAAGCCAGTTAATGACCGGCTTTTGTTAAACAGGGATGCTGGAAAACCAGCATCAGATAAGTGCTTGCAGCCAAAGGCTGTCAGTGCTGATCTGTGTGTTCTGGCGGAGGGGATGGGGCAGTTCCCTTTGTCAAAACACAATAGCTCAGTGGGGAGATCACCACACTGAGATCGCTGGCTTGAACAAAAAAGAACTCCCCATGCGTAGCTAGCATTAGTACTTTAACATTGAAGTTTGACTTTTTATTTTGTCTTCCTTTCAGGTTTGCAGGGGCATTTACACTCCGCCAGAGGATGTTAAATTTTGTACAGAATATCCAGTATTATATGATGTTTGAAGTGATGGAACCAACTTGGCATATTCTCGAGAAAAAACCTCAAGTCAGTAAGTAACAATAAAGAGCAAGGTGCACAGTTAACATTCGTGAAGCCCTTAAAGCATCCATTAGTTTGGGATTATTGATGACATATTTAACTCCATACGGATCTAGGACAAACCTCCTGTCCAAAAGTTATGTGAGCTGTACACACACCTCGTCTTGTAACTGTCAGAACCTGATAACCAAGATCCTAGTCTATCTATCATAGTTCTTGGAAGTGTCTTCACAGGCCTGCAATAGTCTCTAATACTCTAATTTTACAGCTAAATGCCAGGCTGGCAGGCAAAGCTTCAGCAGTTTCTCATAGAGCTAGACCTTACTAACTTCTTCCTGTCTACTGCACATTCCTACTGGCCAGTCATGCAACCCATCTTAGTGATAAGGTAATGGTAATATATGTGGAGTAGGGGCTAGCCAAAGCCAAAAATGTAGCATGTCCACACTCTCTGACCTTCATTTTGGTCTGCAGTCTCTGGCAGTCCTTTCCATCATTACATGTATTAAACATTATGTGTGGCCCTGTGTGGATGTCAGGGGCCTCATTTGAGACCTGATAAGTTGACAACCACTCCTATAATGCATTGCAACTTGCTACAGTGCATTAATACAATACAGTAAAAAAAAAAAAAACATTTTTAAAGTTCAGTAAATGTATTGCAACACGTCTTTAGGTGCTTGCCCGCCACGCTATAGTAGAAGTACTGCTACAGGTCGGCAGGGCTGCGCAAAATCACATACAGTTGCAAGAAAAAGTATGTGAACCCCTTGGGATTACGTGGAGTTTTGCATGAATTGGGCATAAAATGTGCTCCGAACATCATCTAAGTCACAACAATAGAAGAACACAGTCTGCTGAACATAATACTAAACAAACATTAGATGTTGCCATGGTTTAATGGCACATAACATGTAAACATTCACAGTGCAGGGAGGAAAAAGTATGTGAGGCCCTAGCTGAATGACTTCTCCCAGAGCTAATTGGAGCCAGGAGTGAGCCAACCCTGACTCCAATCAGTGTGATGATATTGGATGTGTTGCTGACAGCTGTCCTGCCCTTAAAAAACACACACCTGTTTTGGGTTTACTGGTTTCAAGAAGCACTGTCTGATGTGAACCATGCCTCGCAGAAAAGGGCTCTCAGAAGACCTACGATCAAGAATTGTTGACTTGCATGAAGCTGGAAAGGGTTACAAAAGTATCTCCAAAAGCCTTGATGTTCATGTGTCCACGGTAAGACAGACTGTCTACAAATGGAGAAAGTTTAGCAGTGTTGCTACTCTCCCTAGGCGTGGTCGTCCTGTAAAAATGACTGCAAGAGCACAGCGCAGAATGCTGCATGAGGTAAAGAAGAATCCCAGAGTGTCAGCTAAAGACCTACAGAAATCTCTGGCACGTGCTAACATTTTTGTTGACACATCTACAATAAGGAAAACATTAAACAAGAATGGAGTACATGGGAGGACACTACGGAGGAAGCCATTGCTGTCCAAAAAGAATATTGCAGCACGTTTGAAATTTGCAAAAGAGCACCTGGATGTTCCACAGCACTACTGGCAAAATATACTATGGACAGATGAAACCAAGACTGAGTTGTTTGGGAAAAACACACAACAGTATGTGTGGAGAAAAAAAGGCACAGCACACCAACATCCAAACCTCATCCCCACTGTATAACATGGCGGAGGGAGCATCATGGTTTGGGGCTGCTTTGCTGCCTCAGGGCCTGGACGGATTGTTGTCATTGATGGGAAAATGAATTCCAGAGTTTATCAAGATATTTTGCAGGAAAACGTACGACCATCTGTGCGCCAACTGAAGCTCCGCAGAGGATGGGTGATGCAACAGGACAATGACCCAAAGCATACAAGTAATTCAACAAAACAATGGCTGCAACAGCACAGAATACGCCTTCTGGAGTGGCCCAGTCAGAGTCCTGACCTCAACCCGATTGAAATGCTGTGGCATGACCTTAAGAGAGCGATTCACACCAGACATCCCAAGAATATTGCTACACTGAAACAGTTTTGTGAAGAGGAGTGGTCCAAAATTACTCCAGATCGTTGTGTAGGTCTGATCTGCAACTACAGGAAACGTTTGGTTGAGGTTATTGCTGCCAAAGGAGGGTCAACCAGTTATTAAGTCCAAAGGTTAACATACTTTTTCCTCCCTGCACTGTGAATGTTTACAAGTTATGTGCAATTAAACCATGGCAACATCTAATGTTTGTGTAGTATTATGTTCAGCAGACTGTGTTCTTCTATTGTTGTGACTTAGATGACGTTCAGAGCACATTTTATGCCCAATTCATGCAAAACTCCACGTAATCCCAAGGGGTTCACATACTTTTTCTTGCAACTGTACATATGTGTGTGTGTGTGTGTGTATATGCGTGTGTGTGTGTGTGATTTGGATTTCCGTGTAGTGGGTATGTGCCGCCAGTGGTGGCTACGGATGTCAATCACCACATCCCGGACGGAGATTTCCCGCCGGCACCTGGCGATCGTCGAGTAAAACTGATAGGGAAGACACCTGTGTGTAAGCAACACAGGTTTCTTTCCTGCCAGCAAGCACATGCTGCTTTGTATTTCTCTGCACAGAAGAGAAATACACAGCAGCATGTTTCCCTAGTAAAACACACACAGCATACAATGTAAAACAGCACACAGTTAACCCTTTGATCGCTCCAGATGTTAAACCCTTCCTGCCCAGTGTCATTAGTACAGTGTCAGTGCTTTTTATTAGCACTGATTCCTGTATTAATGTCAGTGGCAGTTAGTCAGTTCCCCCCCCCGTGTCAGAATTCCCGCCGCAGTCCTGCTATAAGTTGCTGATCGCCGACATTTCTAGTATAAAAAAAAATTCCAGTATATATACAGGGCTTAAAATTTGAAGTCCTGAGCTACTAGCCAGGCCTTAAGAGTTACTCGCCACCAGTTGCCCCACCCAACCCTTACCCTGCCCTCGCCCCTAATTCCACCCCTAAACACGCCCTCGTAAATTATTTCATGAAATGACACTGTTAAATGTTACCCACATTACATCAGGGTCCCCAGAGTCCCCTCACATTACATCAGGACCTCCAATGTCCCCCTCAACACTCCATCATACTTAGACCATGAACCGCATACAACCATAACACCCCATAATCTTTCACTCATAAAACCATAACCCTACCAAGCATATCCTACCTACTATCCAATACAGCAGTACCTCAAATGTCCCATTCTCTACCACCCATAATAACCACATATAATCCTGAACATGACCAAACCACCCATACATGTAGGTTTACATACAGACATATGTACATACACTCACAGAAACATGTACACACACACATACATGTTCATACACAAAGACACATACACAGAAGTACACGTACAGACACATGTACGTACATACACACAAACACACGCAGACACATGTACACATACATGTACATACATGCAGACACATGTACAGATACACACATGTACATGCACACACAGACACACACAAACACACACAGATACATGTACATACATATACACACACACACACACCTGGACACAGCCCTATAAATAGTTGCAGTATTTCGATACCTTCACTCACTGAGCCGGGTACTGCACTCTAGGGGGAGGCAGAGAGCACAGCACACACTCCTTCCTTTGCTTTCACTTTGCTCAACTATTGAGCAGTCTGACAGCTCCCGGTGCGAGTGACAGATCCGGCCTGAGCTCCGAGCCTGCTCAGCATGACAGCCCTGGGGACACACTCGCCCCCACCATAATTTCCACTCACCAATGCAAGTGGAAATTTGAAGGCCTGTATATATATACTGCCATTTGTAGTCGCTATAACTTTCATGTAAACCAATGAATTTACATGTATTGGGATTTTTTGGCCTAAATTTAGGAAGAAATTAGATTTTTTTACATTTTTTTACTGGACATAGTTTATAGCAAAAAGTCAAAAATACTGTTTTGGGTTTTTTTTCAAAATTGTATGTCCTTTTTTCTTTATAGCGCAAAAAATAAAAACCGCACAGGTGATTAAATACCACCGAAAGAAAGCTCTACACCGTGTTCCAAATTATTATGCAAATTATATTTTTTTCATTTACCTACATAATTGATGTAAATAACAGTCAGCATAATTCTCATGTTATCAACTATTAAGAGTACAATTCAAATTTTATTGAACAAACCTCCTAATGATAACAGTATTTTTGTTAAACATAAAAAACTTACAATGCACTGTTCCAAATTATTACACACAGGAAGTTTCAAAACACTTTGTAGGTTGTAAAGAACTGAAAATTGTCATTTGTTGTGTTTGCAGCATATTTACTAAAATCAAAAGCTATTTCAATCAAACTTTTAACAACATTTTAACTTTTTAAACATTTTAACAGGTCACGTTACATTGTAACATAGGACTCCTTATTTGATAGCAGCTTCACAAGTCTTGCATCCATTGAACTTGTGTGTTTTTGGACAGTTTCTGCTTGAATTTGTTTGCAAGATGTCAGAATAGCCTCCCAGAGCTGCTGTTTGGATGTAAACTGCCTCCCACCCTCATAGATCTTTTGCTTGAGGATGCTCCAAAGGTTCTCAATAGGATTGAGGTCAGGGGAGGATGGAGGCCACACCATGACTTTCTCTCCTTTTATCCCCATAACAGCCATTGATGCAGAGGTATTCTTTGCAGCATGAGATGGTGCATTGTAATGCATGAAGATGATTTTATTATGGAAAGCATAGTTCTTCCTTCTGTACCAGGGAAGAAAGTGGTCAGTCATAAACTCCACATACTTTGCAGAGGTCCTCTTTACTTCTTCGGGGCCCCTAAAGGGGCTGGCCAGCTCTGTTCCCATGATTCCAGCCCAAAACATGACTCCACCACCACTACTTTATCCATCTGGACCATCCAGGGTTGCACGGCACTCATCAGTGAACAGGACTGTTTGAAAATTAGTCTTCATGTATTTTTCTGCCCAATGCAGCCGTTTCTGCTTGTGAGCATTGGTTAGTGGTGCCCGAATAGAAGGTTTATGCACAGTTGCAAGACTCTGGAGGACTCTACACCTTGATGTCCGTGGGACTCCAGAGGCACCAGCAGCTTCAAATATCTGTTTGCTGCTATGTAATGGTATTTTAGCAGCTGCTCTCTTGATCCAATGCATGGATCTGGCAGAAATCCTTCTCAATGTGCCTTTATCTGCATGAACCCGTCTGTGCTCTGAATTAGCCACAAATCTCTTAATAGTGCGATGATCACGCTTAAGTTTTCGTGAAATATCTAATGTTTTCATACCTCGTCCAAGGCATTGAACTATTTCACTCTTTTCGGCAGCAGAGAGATCCTTTTTCTTCCCCATAGTGCTTGAAAATGATGCTCTGCTTAATAATGTGGAACACCCTCCTTTAGTAGTTTTTCCTTAGATTGGGCTCACCGGCCAATCTAATTATCACAGGTGTCCGAGATTGTTTTCAGTGATCAAAAGAGCCCTGACACACCATGCCATCCTTGAGTTAAACTGAAAAACAAAATATTTAATCTTTGTGACACTTAAATAGAATTTGCATAATAATTTGGAACACGGTGTATTTCCTTTCTGTCTCCATGTTAAAGGATAAGTCACAAAAATTTACATTTTTGCTTTCTATCACTGAACCAGTAGCCCTCCTTGGGTGCAGGTCACAGAAGTCTGTTTGGTATAGACCGGGGTCAGCAACCAGTAGATCGTGATCTACCAGTAGATTGTAGCCAGGTGACTGGTAGATCACGGTCTGGACTTGCTGATCCGCCATCCCAGAACATCAGACTGCAATGCAGAGGGACTGTTTGTAAATTTAAAGCTGTGGTAGGGAGCAACAGCCGCATACTTTGATGGCCCCTCTACAGTGCTGGCTCCTGTCCCATGTGGACTGATACAGGCTAGCAGTCTCCAGAGTGGTGCCAGCAGCAGGAAAGAAGAGATCTTTAGGGCAGTGTGAAGCAATACACTGGACATAGTAGTATAGGGCTGCTTTCACACTGATGTGCAGCGGTTTACTCACACCGTGAGTGCAGTGCACTATACCTGCAGCTTTCATGCGGGTTTGCTGTTTTTAGCCATAGACTTCTATTATATCCTGCCGGTTTGACGCACTTTGTGAAAGTGCACCAAAACTCCATAGAGTTGTAGGGTCATTGCTGAGAGGCCCCATTTACTTGAATAGGTCATGAGTGGCAGGCGGTAGCAACAGGGCATGTGTACACCTTTGGCTGCTGGCTGGCTGATTGGGAGTGGTAAAACCACGACTTAACTGCAAGGATTTACCACCGTCCAACTTTACATGTGAATGAGCCCCAAGGGTGCCACTGCCAAATGCAATGGGCTCATTCACAAGCTGGTAAGTAGGCGATATTTTGCCACCTCATCACCTGATTTAAACCCACCACTGCCATGCAATGCATGCAATTGCGACAAGGTAGAAGTCTAAATCAGGTGTGAGGAGGTGCACTGTGCCTCTGTGATCTTTGACTTCTCCCATGTTGTTCAGGTAGACCTCTACCTCTTTAAAGTGTTACTAAACCCATGACCCTGCATTCACTATATCTGGTCTCCCACAGTACACACAACATGGGAATGCAATTGTGTTAGTAAATATAAACTGCTAAATACCTTTTTTCATCAGCAGTATATAGCAGTCTTGTGACTTCTATCAGTGTCCAGCAGAGCACATGTGAAAGCTTGTAGGAGGAGTTTTCATTCTGCTCTAGGAGGATGCAGAATCCCTGACCTCTGTCTGGACAGTGCTGATTGGCCCTGTGCTAATCACATGCACGCTCCCAAGAAAAAAAAAAAAAAACCTCTCAAGCAATACACCCCAAACTGAGCATATGCAGAGTGACTCCGCATGATATGTCTTATAAGGAAATAAGAAGGGGAGGATCAGAGAATACAGGATCAAACAGCCTTTTTACATAATGCAGAGGATTAACCCCTTAGGTTCCACAGTGAGTTTAACAATTTACTGCGTATACAGACTGATTTTAAGGTTGCCTACCCTGGTATAGAGGATCTGAAGTGTAGAATTGGGTTCATGGATTTGGTTCTAGTTTTAAATTACTTGGCACATTCTTTTGACAAATGTGTATAGACTGTTAAAGGTTTTTGCTTCTATATTTCTTTCTAACCAACAGGCCTCTAATATAGATGATGTCCTAAGCCACCACACAAGCTTCCTCGATAACTGTCTGAAGGACTGCATGCTTACCAACCCAGAATTACTCAAAATCTTCTCAAAACTTATGTCTGTGTGCGTCATGTTTACCAACTGTATGCAGGTAAATTTAGACGTTCATTTGCTCCTTATTGGCCTTGGTATTGCTATTGAACTACTGTACAATGTCCTATCATCTCTATGTTAAAAATAAGGTTGAACAGTAAGTGCATTCATATTTTATTAAAACATTTTATAGAATAATGTGTACAACAAACAATAGGGGGTGTGGGAAATGAGAAGCTACCCAGAGGCTTTACTAATGTAAAAAAATGTAGGGTATAAACAGAAGGTAAGCAAACGTGTAGAACAGGGTTCCATGGAACCCTAAGATTCCTCCAAAGGTTTCCAGGGGTTCCTTGAACAATGACCAGTTTTTGCCTCTTAGATAAGTTCCCACTGACACCATTGATCTTGTTAACGATCTGTAAATGAGTAATCCTTCCCAATGACCACAAGTGTAAGGAGCATTCTTCCCATTGACCAATACATTAATGCAGCACGAGCTGTGCATATAGTCATTTTTAGCAGGGGTTCCCTGAGACCAGAAAATTATTTCAAGGGTTCCTCTGTGGTGAAAAGGTTGAGCAAATCTGGTGTAGAAGAATAATACAACCAATGTCACACTTTGTTTTTTTTTTTCCACAAAAAAATGTCTCAGTTTCTCGTTACAGTTAGTAAGTATATACTTTCACATGCCAGCTTCAGCAACACTTCTGATCGTGTTGAAGGCCAGAATACCCTTGTCAACAGTTTTACTGGCCAATGGGAGCCAGTGGGAGATAGGACAGGCCAGCCATTGATACTGCATGTTAACGTTTGCATATGAGATTGGAGCAGCATTGCATGCTTGATAACGTATTTGAACTACGGACAGTTTTTGGTCTATGCATTGTACTGCTGGAGACAGATTTGACTGGTGTGCTTTAACTTTCTTTCTGCCATCTGATTGACATTCCGAGTATCCTGAAATATACATCTTTGTTGTCATACAGTTAAAATGATAGTTGACTTAGTTATATGATTGTTCAGAATCTTATATGAAAACCTTTAATATCCTCTTAAAGTACAATGTTTCCTTATTTAATCAGAATTAATAATTTCATATCATTCATCCTCCTCTTCTGGGGTCCTCCGGCAGCGCTCCTGGCTCCTCACCTCTGCCAAGTGCTCCCATAGCAAGCCGCTTGCTATGGGGGCACACGCGCTACCTTGAGCTGCGCTGTGTGTGTCCATTGACATACAGAGCATAGCCCCGCTCTCTCCTCACTGGCACTGATTGACAACAGCCGCTGTTCTCAGCCACAGCACTAGATCAAGTTCAGACTCGGGTAAGTAAAAGGGGGGGGGGGGGTTGCTGCATTCAGAAGGTGTCTTTTTTTTTTTTATCTTAATGCAGAGAATGCATTAGATTAAGAAACGGAAAAAAATTCTACCTTTTTAGAGAACCACTTTAAGCACACTTTTTTTTTTTTTTATAGAAGCCTGTCATTCTACTTTAAAATCATTTCCCAGCTTGGATTTTACTTGCCAAAAAAGAATGTTAGACCCTCTTGTATGAGTCCTTACTTCAATTATTATAGGAAAGGCTGCACACACTTGGCATACAAGTACAATTCGTAAAATTCATAATACTTGAATTCAAGACATACACTATATTTCCAAAAGTATTGGGATGCCTGCCTTTATGCACACATGAACTTTAATGGCATCCAAGTCTTACTCCTTAGGTTCAATATTCAGTTGGTCCCACCCTTTGCAGCTATAACAGCTTCAACTCATCTGGGAAGGCTGTCCACAAGGTTTAGGAGTGTGTCTATGGGAATGTTTCACTATTCTTCCAGAAGCACATTTGTGAGGTCAGGCACTGATGTCGGACGAGGTCCTGGCTTGCAGTCTCCACTCTAATTCATCCCAAAGGTGCTCTATAGGGTTGAGGTCAGGACTCTGTGCAGGCCAGTCAAGTTCCTCCACCCCAAACTCGCTCATCCATGTCTTTATGTACCTTGCTTTGTGCACTGGTGCTCAGTCATGTTGGAACAGGAAGGGGCCATCCCCAAACTGTTTCCACAAAGTTGGGAGCATGAAATTGATGCTCTAAGAGTTCCCTTCAGTGGAACTAGCGGGCCTGGCCCAACCCCTGAAAAACAGCCCACACCATAATCACCCCTCCATCAAACTTTACACTTGGCACAATGCAGTCAGGCAAGTACTGTTCTCCTGGCAACTGCCAAGCCCAGACATGTCCGGATTGCCAGACAGAGAAGCATAATTTGTCACTCCAGAGAACACGTCTCCACTGCTCCAGAGTCCAGTGGCAGCATGCTTTACACCACTGCATCTGACGCTTTGCATTGCATTTGGTGATGTAAGGTTTGGATGCAGCTGCTTGGCCATGGAAACCCATTCTATGAAGCTCTCTATGCACTGTTGTGCTAATCTGAAGGCCACACGAAGTTTGGAGATCTTTAGCTATTGACTCTGCAGACAGTTGGCGACTTCTGTGCACTGTGTGCTTCAGCATGCGCTCACACCGCTCTGTCATTTTACGTGGCCTACCACTTCGTGGCTGAGTTGCTGTTGTTCCCAGTTGCTTCCACTTTGTTATAATATATCACTAACAGTTGGCCGTGGAATATTTAGTAGCAGATGGACTTATTGCACAGATGGCAACCTATCAAGGTACCACTCTTGAATTCACTGAGCGCCTGAGAGCCATAGAAACCCAGTAATTGTATATAGTTTGTGCATACAGTCCATATATTATATTTGTTATCCTTCTCAAATACTGCAAGTGTTCATTGTGGATATTTTTGCTCTTTTAGCGGTTTACACACAGCATGCAGGTACAGACAGAGATGGAGCGTTTGACACTGGAACGTGGAACCATGATGGGACCACCCACACAGAATGAGAAAACAGAAGAAGCTGTGAAGAAGAAACTCACTTCTAAGGTGATCTGAGTAAAGACAGAAATTTCTGCATATTTAGGCACAAGCCTGTAGCTAAACTAAAATATTAACACAAGTACGCTCAGTGGCAGGTAGTACATGCCTGTTGGTGGTATATAACTACTGCAATACTGCTCAAGGCCATCACAGTTACTTGTAGAGGAGATTAGACAGCACTCTTCCACCTGCTCATACCCACAATGCATTTCCCTGTCCCTGCAAATCCATTTGGAAAGTCTTGATTTGCATATCTGGTTTGGTAAACCCCAGACAGTAGTACAGTAAGGGCAAAAAAGGTTTTCTTTCTTTTTCAGTTTCTGGCAGAGCATGTTGATGCCTTTCAATCTTCAACTGGCTTTGAATCCACCATCAACAATTTCGACAGCAACTTTTCCACACATCTCATGGACCTCCTTGATAAACTGAGCATGTACAGTACCAATGACTGCGAGCACAGCATGATCAACATTATATACAGGTGAGAATTGTCACAGTTGAAATGTTTCACAAAATGCTTTTGCTGTTAAAGTAAGAGTCATATTTTCTTGGGGAAAAGCCCTCCAGATCAGGCATTGTATATTTCAGGGTTCCTCCATAGGTTGCTAGGGGTTTGTTGAGCAATGAACGATTACCCCATTGATCCCTTTAGCTATCTCTAAGGGGTAATTCTTCCCAGCGACCACAAGTGTAAGGAGCATTCTCACTGGCTATCACACTAATGTATCGTCCATTGTAGATATAATCATATTTATCAGCGGTTCCCTGAGATCAGAAAGTTATTTTAAGGGTTCCTCTGCGTTTGTTTTCCAAAAATCCTGTCAACAAAATAATTGTTCCTGTGTTTGCAAATGTAAATATATCCAGATTAAGACAATTAGACCTCATGTAGTACACATGGACTCCCCTAGACGTTTAGCTCTCCTGGCAGCAGGAAAACTCTACATGTGGCAAAAACGAGTGTAAACGCATACCACATCTAGCACTTGCACATTTATCCATTTGTTTGCCCAGAGTATTTTCCATGGACATGAATAAACGCCCAAGTGCTAAATGCAGCTAGCATTTAAATTAGTTTTTTTGACGTGTTTTAGCGTTTTTTTTGGCCAAAACATTCCTTTCCTGAATGCAATTATTCTGTGACGTTTAAGTGCCCCTAAATTCTACAGCTCCTAAACGCTGGTAAAAGCCTATGTGTACATGGATACCTAGGTTTGTATTAAGTTAAGTTCAGGGGCTTTGTAAAAAATAAACAAACCGCCAAAAGCTCTTAAACTCATGTTTAAGAGCAGCAGTGTACACGAGGCCTTATCGCTGGCTGTAGATTGAAATGGAAAAATTATTTTTAAAGTAGAACCAAAGTTGCAAATAAAAAAAAAATGGCAAAACTGGAACGTTATAGCAAGTGCTCCTGCGGCCCCCGCCAGCCTCACTTTTGTTTAATAACATTGCCCAAATCCCACACTTTAAGGGTTAAATGATTGGTAACGTATATGCTTCCCCAACATTTCATATTTCTGATATGTGTCTGCTGTACCATGTTACTTGTATTAAAAATTATCCTGTTCTCTTTGCATTTCTTCCTTTTGTGTGAAAAATCTGGTGGTCCTGCCAGTCCCTCTGCTTTCCTATGTCAAACTGACCACACTAGGCATAAGAGCACATCCATCCCAGTGTGGTAAGTTTTCTGGTTGTGCAGGGAAACCGACTGCTGTCTATCCTCCAATGGGACAGCTGACAGTCTCTCTGCACAGTTCTTCCTGTCCCCTGGTGCTGTTCTCTGCTGTGGCTTGTTAGTGGTCTGTTCTATTGGCTTTGCTTTGTACTTGATACCATCATTGTGTGACCTCAGCCCAGAACGCCCTATAGAAGAGGCTTCGGGGTGCCAGTTTGCCCAGATGGAGGGAACCTGCTGGAGTAATGTGAGGAAGACATTATTTCTCATCCCCTAGAGTTAATGAGCATTTAACCCTTGCAGTGTGGTGGGGCCCTACTGTATAGGGTAGTTTTTCGTTATTCCCAAAAGTAGGCTTTAAATTGCATAGTGATTTGTGCATTATTTGTAGGTTATGCCAACACCTTTTTGTTTTGGATGTGGTTGGAATTAGGTAGACCTCCTGTTTTATTGATGTCTGTGTTCCAGTTGATGGGACCTTCTGTAACTTCCTGGCCTCCATACAGTGGTCATTGGAACAGGAAA